TGTTCTATAGCTAGCTGAAAGCTTTTTTCAGTCCAAAAACTTTTTTGAGAAGTCCTTATATAATTTCTATGCATATCCTGCAATAAAACGAGAAAACAAAAGTTTATTAAAAATAGGCATATTGGAAATCAATTAACAAAAAATAGGCCCGTTTTTCCAAGAAAAATGTGGCATGTTTTCCATTTGTTGGGGTAAGATGCCTAGTAGAGTCACGTGCTCCAGCATGTCCAATCGGGATCGGCGGTAGCTGACAATGGAAACTTTAGAACCTTAACTACATCACACATTAATTGTTTTTAGCAATTTTTAATAAATTCCATTTTAACTTTTAGTTTAAAATTATTCTAGAAACATTTCACAACAAAAACTTTGTTCTTATTTAGCTTTTATTCTTCTCGGATGTAGGAAGTGAAGTAACGGTAGCCAACTACAGCTTTCCGCACTCAATATTGGCCCAACGATTCATCATACAAATACATGACAATATGCGACGTCACCGTTTGAAAATGTCAAAAATTAGGCATATTTCCCCAAATCACTCTATACGTTGCAGTCAAAACCAGTTTTTAGTTAGGATGCGTTTTAACTAGTTAAAACTAGTTTATACTGGATGTCTTTATTAAAACCCGTTTTGTCTAGTTGAAACTAGAATTTACTGCTAGTCAAAAATGAATTTGAGTTAAAACTAGTTTTAACTAGACAAAACGGGTTTTAACAAAGACATTCAGTATAAACTAGTTTCAACTAGTTAAAACGCGTTCTAACTAAAAACAGGTTTTGACTGTAACATATATAAACCATTCTTGTTATTATTGTAATTCTTATTGTTTGAGATATCACATAATAATAATTTTAGCACCAAACTTGAATTTATTGCTAATTAGTCTAGTTTTAGTACTGAAATTAAAACTCTGGAACATTACTAAACACACGATACTTACAATTTTGGGGTGAGCAAGTGGTGGCACAAAATTGTTTTAGTGTTTCTTGCTGGCATGTTCTCAAAACTATAATATTACTTTACTTTATAGAAACTGCTTGAGAAAAATTTAGATGGAATAAAATATTTTAAATTATATAAAATAAAAATTATTGATGAAATAGTATATTTTCAATATTAACATATCATTAGTTGATTTAAAAGTATTAATTAAAATTGAAATTTTAATAATATAAATTTAATGAATTTTTAGGGTGAGCAAACTCTATGTCTTAAATTTAACATGTTGAGGAAGAGTAGAAGAGAGAGGATATATCATGCGGAAAATGAAGAAATTGCTGACGTAAGTTGTACTCAAAGTAAACTCTTTTTTAAAATTAATAAATTAATTTTAAAATTAATAAATTAATTTTAAAGAATAAATGTATTTAGAGTACAATCTAACACAGATTTTGCATGAATAATTCTTGACATTACAGACGGTCAAATAGCCAAGCAATTAAGGTGTAACCCTACCACTCTGGGAGACCCAGGGTAAAATATGAATATAAATGGACGGGTTGAAAAGCCCTGGAAATTTTTTGGGGATGGTTTATTCTGGATATGTCAAGTTCTGTCCCTTGCCACATGACTGCTTTATTGTGGACTCAACCAAATCCATGATGGGCTTGATTAAAAAACCTTCTTAGTGCCCTTAGGGTGGAAAGAATAAAAAAGTTTCTTGATGTTACCAACTTTCAATGTTAAATAAAACGAAACATTTCAATATAAACTTATTTAGGGAGATGAAAACATAAAAAAGATTGAGGTTTTTAAGGAAAACGTTATTTTGTTGAATTGTAACATAAAGAATACAATTCAAATTTCATTTAATTTGGTGTAAATTTTAAAACTTGAAAATAGAATACAGAATATATATGAACACTACTTTTTGGATAATGTTTTTCTTGAAAGGATTCAGTTTTTTAACTAGTATAATGATAATATAATTATTATTCTTGCACTTTGTATTTTTTTTATATTCTTTAATATAAAAAAAACAAATAGCATATTCTATGTTACAAATAAAACATAAAGAATAGGAATATAGTTGACCCCCACCCTATAACACTGTTGATAATTCCGTTTTATATGAATTCCATGTTGTACGAGTCACTTAGATTTTACAAGTACGTGTGTTGGGCTGTGAATGGCTCACGTATTTGTAAAATCTAAGTGACTTGTACAACATGGAATTAATATAAAACGGAATAATCAACAGTGTTATAGTGGGGGTCGACTGTAACAGAAATACAGAATGACATTAAATTATGTAATTATAATCAAAAATTACTTTGATGTAGAAGTCTTCTTAATAGCAACATACTTATAAAGCATCAGTAATTACTCTCAAACAGATCTTTACCATAAATTTTGTAATTAGGACTCTTTTGGTATGTTTGAATTACTAAATGTATACATTAGATGTGTTTTTTCACTGAATTACAACCTTGAATGCTCAAACTCAAACTTGTAAATAGATCTCATTATTATAAAATGTTCTTCCCAAGCCATTTTGGATGCGTGCTCTGCCTGGCCATTATACCAACTGTCCAGCTAGTCAATCTATTGAATTGGCATGTCAAAATAATGATATGTATAAATTGTAAAGTTCCTTATCCATTTGTGGAAAGGTAATGTAGAAACAAATAAATCAAATAGTTTTTGTTTCTTTAGCATAGATAGGGTCTAGTAGGTATTATTCATGTTTTAGTATGCTTAAGGTTTGCATTGCTTCAAAAAAATCAAAAGAAAAGCCAACTTCCTGTGGAGCTATTTAGTCCTGGATCATTATTCTAATTTTGATTTTATATTTGGTTCCGTTTTGTTGGGATTGGAGTTTTTTATATACCTTTCAGTGCTTATACCTGCTGGTATATTGCACTTCCAATATGTTCCAATATGTCCTTAATTGCTGTTTAAAAAACCACTTTCCTTGACAACGTTTAAGAGGCTTTTTACAGGTTAAGTCTTGAGATTGTGATTAGATGCAATCCCAAGATTGAATATCTTATGCAAAGCATTGTCATACTTTCAAAAAGAACATGGTGGGCAGTTTCTTCCATTGTATCACATTTCCTCAAATTGGTCCTTCTTTATAGATGCCCATTTTGTACAGATGTTTTTGTAGATGATAATGTCCATTTAAAAAACCAGTTATTGTTCTTATTGTTCTCATCTATCCTATCTAACTTTAATAAGTTGGATGTGAATTTCATTGATGGTTCTTTAACAATTGATGGTTCAAATATTCATATGTTGTCTTTTAAATGTGCTTTTCCAAGACTGTTTTACTTGTATTTGTTGTATCATAATTGTGTCTTCTTGAGAAGTTGGAGGACCTGCTTGAGATTTATCAGGGAAAAAGTGAAATCTACCTGCAACACATATACTTCCAGGAGTTGGACAAATTCTTTTACATATTGATATTTAACTTACTATGAAACAATGTGAAAAAAATGAAATGAAAAATAAACTATATTTATGCAATATCAGTTTTGTCATTTTCTGTAGAATCCATGCAACATTAACCTTTAAAATGAGGTTTGTCCAAAAATTTATTCTGTAGAGATTTTCATAGGTCTTTTGCTAGGGCCTGATGTAATCTATGATAATGGGCAAACCTCCACATAATTGTATGATGTAGTTTAAGATGTGTTTGCTTTATTTTGTTGTCTTATTTAAACTAACACTGATCATTTTGTTTCAGGAACTCTTTAAAATATTGAAACGTCATGTCGATGAATGTAATTTGAAAAATATAGTGGAGAATGCTCTAATGGTAAATTTTATTTATTGTGTTTTTATAAGCATTAATTTGAAGACTAAGTAATTTTTTCACTGTAATAAATTTGTTACGTTTTATTATAATTTTTATTAAAGTTAATATGAATGCACATTATGCAATATATGTATATATTGTGTGTGCCATGTTACATTGGATTGAATTTGTTACCTAATATTAAAGAGTATATAATATTTGACTTAGATACAATTTAGAACAATTAGAGATATTTCAATGTCTCTTTAAACTACAATTGAATTAAAGATTTTGTTTTGTATAAAATTTACATACAAATAACAAAAAATCTAAATTTTATTAAATTTATAAATTTTCGTCTACAAGTACAAATTTTCTAAGATCAGGACTTATTATACTGGCTTTACAGATAATGTTACAAAGTTTCACAGAAAACAATTTTTTGTTTTATTTAATATATCTGGTATATTAAATACTAGCAGGTATATTAAATAAAACAAAAAATTGTTTTCTGTGAAACTGTGTAGCATTATCTGTAAAGCCAGTATAATAAGTCCTGATATTAGAAAATTTGTACTTGTAGACGAAAATTTATATATCATAGTAAGCCATGTACTGTACATTGAGGCATTTTAATTAAATTTTATTAAATTCTTCATAATGAGCTTAATAAAGTACAGTGTTGATGTCTGAATAACTCTAATTTAAATATTTGAAACTTCATATACAAATTTCTTAATCTCCTAATTGAAATATTATATTATATTATATTATTTATTGTTTTATATTTATGCAAATTAATTTAATCATATATAAAATTTATGTTTCACTATGGACATTGATACTGAATCTTGTTATGACAATTTAGATAAATAATAATTGCATAATTATTTGTTTTCTAATAAATTTTTTAAATTTAAGTAAAAACATGCTGTTAAAAATTGATAATTGACAGATCAGCAATATCAGAAAACAATCATAAATATCAGTACTTCATATTTAATCATTAATATTTGATGATATTGATACATATTTACTGCTAAATATAAAATTATAAACTAGTATTGGTAACTGTGAACATAAGGTGTGAAGGAAAATTTAGAAACAGTTTGTAGTTTCTACTTTACTAGAAAATATATGATCTATGATCCATAATTCATTATTTTAATATTTGTAGGTATGATCAACATAATGCAGTGATTATTATGAATGTTGTTGGCTTTGCTTCTTGAAAAATAAAAGAAACAAGAAAAAACTAAAAATTAAGTGACATTTTAGTTTAGAAAACAATGGATTTTGAATAATGCTTTTTAAAACTAACATCTAGTCAAACTTTCATTTCTATTTATGACTACAAATACTGTTTTGGGTATCATTTCAACTAGGTTTATAAGATAGACTTTGCTAATTTCTTTCCATGATTTTCAACAATTACCCATTTCTAGTCTTCAACTGAAACATACTGCCTCCACCAGTGTGTATTTTTCTTGCTAATAGTCTCCAAATATTTTCACTCAAGTTGCAATTTCAGAGCAGCCATATATGGAATTACTTGGATTCCATTTTTCAAAAAGAACTCCCAAATAGATCTGGCAGTGTGTGGGTTAACATATCTTATTGCAATTTCCGAAATAGATACCTATTTTCTCTCTAAAGTAAAGTAAATGCTTTATCGCCATGTCTTGGTAGTCATACTGGCATACTTGTTTATTCTGTTGTGTACGAATGCAATATTGCTCCTGTGACCGTAGTCAATACCAGCCTGTACCATAACTGTTTATCCATTTTACCAGCATTTAGAAAATATTTCAGGTTCCTTCCAGAGATCATGCCAATAGTACCGTAAACTGTTGGGACCATCTAAATTAAATTCCTTTTTATCACCAAATACTACAAATTTTCATTCTTTCCTCCACGACGTATGCTCTTTTGCCCAAGCTACTCTTTATACCATTTTATCATTGGTAAACTTTGGTTATACTCCAGATGTTTAATCTCCTTTACCACTTTCCAAACTGTGCACTAGGATATCTTAATATCATCTCTTGATGCAATTTGCCTGGTTGGAGTATTGTGTGATTTAATAAATTCTGTAATTGTTCTCTTGTCATTTTTTTAGTTTAGGAGCTTTTCCCATTTTCCTTAAAATTCAGTTAAATATGCCGAACAAAGTGTAAAAGTTGCCTGCTGTTTGAAAAATCTAGTGAGCATATGTAACATTACTTAGCAGCAGTTTATACCATTTTAAAAATTCTACTTTTATAAAGTGTTTGAATATGCCATTTTCTCCATTCAAAAGTAAGCAATAAGAGGACCAATATAAAAGAAATAAGAGATTCATATGGTCTAAAAATTATAAAACTGAACTGTCTTAGAATGCAATCTTGGAGGAACTAAAACTGAGGATTTTGACCTGAACAGAAATTTCTGTGTGAGAGCTAGTCAACATACAATGGATGCTTCTTCTCACTACTCTCGTGCAATGAGACAGGACCAAATTCTTTTAGACCGGTCACACTTGTCAAATTTCACTGAGCCAGGGTGGGCATAAAAATAAACCTTCTTAGTTCTTACCAGGTGAAAAGATCCAAAAAATATGTATTAAAATAAAATAAAAATTATTAAATGAGCAATGTGTTCTGAATAATGTTGAAAATAAGTCATATCCACTATTTGTACGTTAGCAAATGTGGACTAATGAGATGAGGACAAGGCTCATTTGCTGTTTTGAAAGTTTTTTATTGTCAATATTATGTCAAAGATGCGTTTCGGGCAATGCTGTTGTTGGTACGTTCCAAAACATCACATCGAATTCCATTAACACAGTTATAAAGATCTATTGCTGGAATAACACGAGTAATGATAAAACTTTTTTACAAAAAGCAGCACATTGATTACATTCAGATTATTTATGGAAAATGGACAAAAGGCTGATTTTATACACTCAAAGTGCCTTTAAACTATACTTAAACCATATAGTAAGGTCAGATGTGGGTATATCATTGACGTTATCTGATGAGTAGTGTGTGGATTTTTGGGTGCCTCACCCACTCGGTTTTTGAAAGGGACAGAGTGTAAAAAGACAAACTACGTCAGTTTTAGTGCAGTAGACCCACTCATAGCCAAATTATTTAGCACCCAAATGCACCCAAAATGCATACCTGCTCCCAAATTGATGACTTGCACTCAAACTATATATTTTGCATCCAGCTTTTCCCTTTTTACATTTTCAAAGAATATATCAACAATTATCGCTTTTTTTGGTGGTTTTTATTCATTCACTTGAGGGGAAATAAACAAATTTGTTAAACCAGACCATGTATCCAGAGAAAAAATACAATAATTAGCTTACAGTAGACCCCCCTATAACGCTTAGATACGTTCCACGCTAACCGAAAATTACGTTGTAGGAACGATTAAATACATGAGCCAATCGCAGCCCGATAGGTGGGAACTTTACGGACTAAGGCTGTTCGAAAGGTTTTCTTCTATAAAATTAACCGATTCTAGACTAATTCGACTCAACATTTCCAAAACACGTATAATTTTTTGGGAGTAATCCGTATAAACTATGCTATAAACAAAAAATTATAGGATTACTTACCGAGTGTGTACCGTTCGACTACGCCCGTTGTTCAAAGCTTGTTTTCGTCGCGGAACAGCACACGAAACGGCGGCCGCGATTTCTGATAACGAATTTTTCGCAGAAAAATAACTTGACCTTTGGAGACATCATTAATATAAATAATTTTTATGGCCGTTGAATAAGAAGTGTTTCTTTCACAAGAAATGTATAAAATTAGTGCTGTATTAGACTTACGGTACCTAATTTACATACTGTGCAGACGATAATAAACTCAACTTACTAGCCTAAAATCTCCGTAGCGTGTTGCCAGGCGGCAGAAAGCATATATATAATTATAATAAAGTTACAATAAATTAAGTTAATATATAATTATATATACAGTACCTAATTTATATATAATTAATATATAATTATATGTACAGTACCTAATTTATATATAATACTAAACAGACGATAGCAAACTCAATTTAGCCGCTCCGTAGCGTGGCGCAAGGTCGGAGGTAAGTAGTTCGGCTGCTCATCCACTATTGGTCCAGACTCTATCAATCTTGTTGCGAAACGACGTTATAGGAGGTACGTTATACGAAAGTTTCTACAATTTTTTCGCTACGTTATAGGAATTGTCGTTATAGGAACATACGTTATAGGGGGGTCGACTGTATTCTCTTTTTTTTGTTGAGAGAAAAGGGGAAAAAAGGGAATTTTCTGGACTAAACAACTAAGCCTTAGGGTTGTTCTAAAAATGCAAACAGATTCACTGAAAATCTGCAACATGTGTTTTTTTTTTCTAAGAAAAGAACAATCTAGATAATTCTGTATTGACGTCACATTACCCTGACTTGTGAGTGCAACAGTTCCAATTTCCTTTGTTCACTGTTGGTGACATTAGGAAATGACAAAAATTGTCTGCATCTAAACTGAACATTTTAGCAAATAAGTTTAAAGATAAAGGCATATGCACAGATGGAAAAGTCCTTCACTGTTCCGTTTGCAATTATGTGATTTCGATTGATGTGAAACACCAAGAAACAAAAACCAGGTGACATATGAGTTTGGAAAAGCAAACAGAAAGCAAACAAAAAAGGAGGAATTTCGAGCAGACATTTATAGGGGCCTCATTTCAAAGAGGAGAAGAATCTCAGAAGGCTAATATTACATTTTATGCAGATTTAACAACTGCTCTTCTACAGGCAAATATACCCTTATATAAGATAAACAATCCAGCCTTTAAGTCATTTCTCCAGAAATATATGTGAAAACTTGTCCCCAACAAGAGCACTCTTAGAAAAAACTATGTTAAACCAGTTTATGATCAAACAAACTCTAAAATCCTGGATGTTGTCGGAGACAATCCTGTAGTATTTATACTGGATGAAACAATGGATTCCACAAAATGGTATGTGCTGAATGTTCTTGTTGCACCTCTGACCGGAGGCTATGTACAACTGATATTCAAAATGTTCCAACTTGAAAATACGACCTCAACTAGTGTTCCAAGCTTTCAATAATGTTTGTGTCAAGTTGTGGCCAAATGGTGTCCAGTATGAAAAGGTTTGGCTTTTTGTTACAGATCAAGAATCTTGCATGTTGTCAGCATTCTCAAATTTGAAGTGCATCTACAACAATCTAAAGCATGTGACTTGTCATGCCTGTGCCCTACACCGAGTATGTGAATGTATTCATGTAGAATATAGCAAGGCCAATGACTTCATTTCGAAAATGAAAATGATGCCCTAGAGTGCCCTTCTTCTCAAGTGTCCTAGTCAGGATCACTTGTACCAAGACGTAACTGGGCTGCCATTACCACCCAGTCCATTGATCACCCGTTGAGGGGATAAACAGTGTGGTATTCTATTGTGAGAACTTTGAGAAAATCAATGCATTTATCAACAGACTTCCTCCTGGCGATTCTGTGGCTGTCACAATGTCAAGAAATTGGTCACTGATCTAATAGTGACCAGAGAACTCTACTCCATACATTCGTACAAGTTATTGATGGATAAAATCAACAAGCTGGAAAGATGTGGAACTGAAATGCGGGATCAGTAGAATGTTGTAAGTCAGGCGCTTGATATACTGGATGGTTTTGCCCTGGACAAACTCAGATCTAGTTTATCGAAAAATCTCAATTTGAAAAATATTTTATTTTATTATATTACTGAACTAGAATTCCGAGTAAAAATGAAACATGTCACCTTAGTCCCGGTCGACATAGAAAGATCTTTTTCTCTAAAATTAAAATGCTCATCTTTATGTGTAAATTGCAATAAACAACTATATAGTTTGTAAACATAATACTTTTTGTTGGTTTTTATCTTAATAATACAGCATTTAAAAGCACCCAAACAAGCACCCAATCCATTCCAAAAATGTACCCAAACATTAATGATGAGCTCCATCTAGTAGTAAAATATTGTATTTCAAAAATCCATATTATCTAACACATGAAAAGCAGATATAGCTTTTATTTCTATTTTCAAAGTAAGAGTTGTTTTAATCATTATCTGATATTGTATTTTAAGGTATTGTTAAAATATTTGAAATTTATTTATTCAAATACACTATACAAAAAGAGAGTTTCTATATTGCTGTATACAAAGCTTATAAGTAGACTCTCGATAAATCTAAGCAAAAGAGACGGAAAGAAATTTTGAGTTACAAAAACTACTATTATATTAATGAGATTGTAAATATTGAAGTAAAAACAATATATTTACACCTAAATAAATTATCTTATTATTTATTAAATTTGCATATGTACAAAATAACAAAACATCGACACCACTAGAGAAAAAGTCTGTTATGCCATTTTATCATCAACAGTTGGCTGCATTTTGTTTGACAATATCGATTTATTTGGCTGAGAATTCAGTACATTGTCAAATAACAATTTTAAAATGTTAAGATTTGACTGGTTAATTTGAATTTAGGAATAAGATTGTTACCTTAGGCACAAAATGTTAAAACTTTGAATTTTATACAATACCAATCTTCAAGTTTATAATAATACCATCAACATGCAAGAAAGTGCATAAAATTAGACACCGGATCTATAGTTTGAGTTAGTGACAGATGATATTGAAACTATTTGGACTTATAGAAATGTGGAGTCTGTTGAGGCAGCAGAAATTAAGTCAGTACAAAAATAAAATTAGAGTTAAGGAACTTTGACCTATCGAGAGTCTACCATAATATGTAAATACTGTTTTCAATTTTGTGATTTTGTAAGATAGACAATGTTTAATGAAAAATTATTTTTATCTAGTGTCTGAAATGTGAAGCGCGTTTCTCTAGGAACCAAGCTTCTCAACAGATTGTTAGAAACGAATCATCCGACAATTTACCTTCTAGTTACGATTCTTCAAAAGGTATAATGTTTGTATTACTGTAAATTATTTGTAGTTATTTTAACATTATCAATATAATTTTTATACAACAATAATGTTTCTGTATCTATAGTGTTGTATATATGCATACAAAAATAAGTAAAAAGCAATTAGTTTTTTCTCCTTCTAAAATGTAGTTTATATGTCATACAATGGCAAAAATATTCTGTAAAATAACATAAAATACAATAATATTAACTAATAATACATTATATACATACATTCATAATATATTAATAAATATAATATATATATTTTATCATATTTTATTAATATTAGGGTACTGTGATTATAATTAATTAATAAGGCTTACTATACTGATTTAAGTCTTATTAATAGATTATAGTTACAGTAGACTAATATAATAAAATAATATTTAAAGGACTAAAAGCATTAATTAATTAATAATGCATATTTATATATTAAGATTATAATATACTGCATTCTTTACAAATGGGAATAGCATTTGTAAATCATAGTAAACTTTATATAATTGAAATATTTCTTTGGAATATCAGTAATTTTTCTTATGATGTACATCTATATTATGTAATATCTATATGTTGAACAGATTAATTTGTTGTTATTCTTTACAATATAAAATAAATGCAGTTTTAAATTACTGACACTGACAATGAAATGAATATCCCAAAAATCTTTTAGCAGTTTTTAGACACTAGAAGATTTGTGATTCTAACATTCAATATGGTGAATTGCTTTTATTTGTGTCAATAATGCAAATGCACTATTATATGTTGCTATTATTAAAAGAAATGGATGTATTTTGTTTAGTGATTGCTTTCAGGAGCTTCACTGATGCTGTGGAAACATTGTTACCCACACGACAAACTATTCTTACGAAAATATGATTTACTACAGATTAGAGAATGTACAAAGCTTTATACAACTGAGATTGGCATAATAAGAGCAAATTATAAAATCAAACACTTGAGTCTAACTGTATTTGTCATCAACATGTTTAGACAATTTTAATGACCCAGTTTGTCATTGGTTTAAATTATAATCTTAATATAAATAACTAATGATATCAAACGTTGATAATTTGTTTAGATATTTGTTAGCATCAGTTTTAATCAGTTATTTTTTGTTGTTGTCGAAACCGTGTTGTTATTTATGTTTGTATACTGGCACAATGAAGTGACCTTCTTTATCAACACTTGGCAAGTTTTCAATCTTTATTCAGTTAGAATGCCATGCTACACATTTGCGTTTTGGGTATTCACCCCTCTTCAGCTAACTAAACAAGTATAAAATAACATATTCAACAATAACTGAACATAAATTAAAATTATACAATAAAATTGATTTTTAACCAGTGAAACATACCTCACTCCAATACAGACTCCTTACTAGTACAGTTATTTTTTATTAGTTACAATACTGAATGATTTTAGTTTTTTAACCTGTGGACACTAAGTGGGTCCTTTTTGGGCCCCTTGTGGGTTTGCCAGGTTTGTAGTGGGATTTTAGGGTGATGAGAGAAGGGACCCAATGAATATGGAATGGACCATCACCCAAAAATTTCTGGGGGTGTTTGATCGTCCAGATTTGATCCCAGATTTTAGAGCAGTAGGACAATTCTTAACTGCTTTGGTTGTCCGAACAGCTTTTGAGAAGTTCCATAATATAATTAAAATTTTGTAGTAATTTTTGTTATTAAATATGTGAAAAGATCACAAGAATAGTAAATTTAATTATGTACAAAATTTTCATTACAGGAAGTCTAAAGCAGATTGACTGCTGTCCAAATTGCGGTAGTTTGATGATATTTAAGGACAGTAATTGTCCCGTCGATAAAATTCAGAATTTCAAAGATTCCAACTATCTACTGAAATCTGAAGATTCCCAGCAAGAATCAAATTCTAGCAACCGAAAATCATTATTTTCGTCTTTGAGAATTTCACCCAAGTTGAGTAGGTAAGTGGCAATTAAATATTAAAACTGCTCTTTCCAACTTGAGTCTTCTAACAAGTGAAATTCCAAGAATTTTGGGTTTCGAAATTGTAAGAATACTTAAGAACTTTTATGATAAGAATGGGACAATTATCAAATTAAATGGTTTAATGATTAATTGGCTAACCTTACAATTAATTGTTATCTAATTATAGTTGGCTATTTTTTAAAATATCTTTTAAAATTAAAAGTCTTTTAGTTGTAGTTTTTATACAGTCTTTTTAGTTTTGCTTAGTATCTATTAATTAAATATAAATATTTATTTTATTATTTATTTATGGTTTAAAGTTATATGAATATATTGAGAAAATAGATTAAGTTGGGTACTACCATAAATTTTAATAGAGATTTGATTTGTATACAAAGAAGATATAGGCTGTGCTTTTTTTTTGTTTGTTTTTTTTCTTTGTCACTACTGTTTTAGTAAGAAACACCATAATCCCTATTCGTTTATCCAGCACACTTGCATATGCACAGCATAATCACATCACTGTAATAAAAAAAGAATTCTTTTATTGTGTGGATATAAAAACATAGTAAATCAGAGTCTCAGTAGCTTAGAATCTTATCCACATTGCATTCTAGCAGGCCTATTTGCTTGACAAGTATAATGCTAAGGAGAAAAACTGCACAACTTGCTTCTAATTAACTTAGAACTGATGCAACTGGCATATAAATAACAACTACGTTCATTGGCTAAATAGGATTATAAATTAAAAATGCTTGGGTGTACTCTGTTTATCTGTTCTCTTAATGCCTTGGGTAGGTTGCCTAACTATATATAGATAAATTATCTATTTATCTATAATTATCTATTTATCTATTTATCTATATGTAATTTATCTATATATAGCTAGGGTTGCCAATCATCTGGTTTTGAACCAAAATGTCCTGATCTATGGGTCTTGTTGGTGTCCAATTGAGAGACAATTTGACAAGACCCATCCACATAATTTACTGTGATAATTTTCTAATCATTTTGATTATATTATTTATTTCTAAGTTTCTCCATACTGATTTGAGACAAGGTTTCATTATCTTTTGTAATGTAGAATGTGGATTATATGCTTTCTTGATGATTCTATATCAATACCATTCTGAGCAAATAGCACAACAACTTTAATATTTTTGGCGGTCACGTTTTTCCATTGTCAATAGATAAATTAATTGATTTACATTGCAATTACTTTCTTGTATCTGATGTCCATCCAAGTGTAGTGTATATAACAAGAAATAAAAAATAATTGGCTTTGTAATAACAATCTATTTCTTTAAAAATAAAACATTTCTTTCAAAAATATGCAGATGATGCTGAAAATTAATCAGTCAGATGTGATAATTAGCTCTGAATAAGAGTTAATTATCACATCTGACAAGCACTGCACAATTAATCATTAATTGTGCATTAATTGTACAAGCACTGCACAATTAATCATAGTTAATTGTGCAGTGCTTGTAAAGCACTGCACAATTAACTATGATTAAATTAAGCCCAGATAATACCCAACAAAGTGATGTTACATAAATTTTGGGTTCGACCAAGTGCTACACCTGGACTTGGATTGCAGTAAGAGTAATTCACGTGACTTAACAGGAAAGAGAAAAAAATGAAAGTCACAAGTATTCAATTAAACTAACAATAATATTTATTAAGTCAAATGCTAGTATAATATAACAAGAATAAATATGAACAAGATGAATTAGTACTAATAAAAGGCCATCAGTGGCCAAGTGGTTTTATTCCATCCATCCAGAGCTAAAATCCATGTGATTTTTGGCTCTTGGCTATCTGAAAGACTTGTTTACCATGATTCCATAACATCTCTGTCTGACCTTAAATACAGCATAGCATGCCATGTGCATAACATTCCAAGGCATACACTGCATGCAATCGTTGAACATGCTGTTTTACACTTTCAGATGGTAGCAGACAATGTTGGCCATCATGTTTTGAACATGTTTTGTTCACATTAGACAGATAACTTGTGTAGCTCATTGTTATGTTCTGTATGAAGCTCTGATATGCCCTCCATTGATAATTTTTGGAACTAATTTTTTGCTCTAGAAAAATTCCCATCATCTCGTTAAGGTATTCCCAAACTTTCATGATTTTCTGATGAATAGTTATTGCTTTAGCCAGCTGGGAAATATCATGATTAATTTGGGATGCCATGTATATTACAGGCTAACTGTCACCAAAAGAATGCCAGAAAATTCTCTAAGAATAGATCACCTCAGACTCAATGCTCTGCATTTAGGAGCATCACCCTGTCTGTTAAATCGTTGTCATCTTTTATCTGGTTCCACTCTATTGGATTTACATACTTAAACTAACAGTTACGTTTGTGACATAATTTGAAAAAGAAAGAATCTTTTCAAAAATTTATTATTTAAATTTTCCATTCGATTACACTTTGGCTCAGAAACTCGTTGACTCCTTTCTGAGATCATTGCCGGGGATGCCTTTTGAGATTAGGGCTGATTTGGGTTACGGGAGCAGTCACTTATATAAGTGATTCCATTTACATAAGTGACTGCTCCCGTAACCCAAATCGGCCCTAATCTGAAAAGGCATCCCCAGCAATTCATTTCTTTTAGTTTAATTTTGAATTTAGTTTGCATTTCGGACCTTTTTTTTTTCCTTTAAAAATAATAAAATGTCCCCAAAATTTAAATTATAATAATAACTGAAATAATGCCCCAAAACATAAAATAATGGTTTGACTTCAAATTCTTACAAGCTCAGTCATTAGTACTTTCTGAACTGGGAGTTAGGCTCTTGTGAATGCTCCTGCTGACTGAGTTTTTCAGTTATTTTCCAAAAAATCATAAAAAAATAATATATTGTGACATTTTGCGTTTTTTTTTGTACTTTTGTTAAAATGAAAAAATTAATGGAATAAACAATAAAAAAAAAGTCTGTTTTTAAAAAGTTACAACAAAATATCCTTTTTTAAATTTAAAAACTTGATATTATCAGATCACACATAAACTGGGATAAAAAAAAGAACTTCAAACAGTTTACTTGACACTTATTTTGGGGCTGACATAAGCTTTTGGTTTGCCACAAGCTTTTAGGGACTGTTTAAAGCACAATTCATTCTTTTGTAAAAGAAAGTTCAAATTACTTTTCAAATACAATTGAATTTCATAGAGTTTACAATAGTATGCTGTTTACATTGACGGAGTTTGAATCAGAATCGTTTTCTTTGATTTTGGTATCGGAAGTATATTTCTGATCGGGAATTGTCATTTATTAAATTTAAAGTTTTGTCAATCAATAAGTTTCTGTGTGCAGCCATTTTATAAAGCATGAAAATATTAAAAAATATGTGCCACTTGGCAGAAATGGTCATTTTTTTGTTAGATGTACTACCTATATTGACTGCAGACATGTAATTTAAGTTGTCTGGCTTCATAGAAAAACATTTAAAACCATGAATGGGTGAGACTTGTCTTTTAGAGGAAAACTAGCTTTGTGAGTGAGCCTTGGAATAAATGTGGCCAGATGTGTCATCTTGATAATTAACAATAATTATTCATTTAATGAATTTCTACTTTGAACATATTAGCCTATCTCCTACTCTTCACATACAGGTTCTGGAACTGGCATAACTAGCAACATTTAATTAATAGGTGAAATAGTATGGTATAAAACCTATTAATTTTTTATGCAAAATTTTATTAATTTATTAGGGCATTTAATGAATATAACTTATAACTGTACATCACTGATATGAATGGTAGAGCATAAACAAAGTTTTATTATAGTGTCTGATGGCAGAAGCAGGATTTCAAGCTGGAGGGATACAACTTTGAAGCATTGTATTCCTCTATTCACTTGGAACCCTTAGAAGTTTCTAAGTTTTTTATTGTATATAAACAAATTATATGAAGAAATAATTATAGAATCTATATATAGTAAGAGTCAAAAATAAATTGATCTTTTGGCACATGTTTTATTATATAACACAAATCCTTACACTACATCACCTTCATGGTTGGCTTTTTCCAGTCCTATATGCTTCTGCCAACATCTATAAAACTCATCAAAGCAGTTCCATAAGCCAGTTTTTTTTTTTAATGGATTTTGTCATTGCGGCTTCCACTCTGCCACTTATTGGAATCTGCACCACTTAGACTTGTCTTTCATTTAGGGAATGGAAAAGAGTCTGCAGCGATTAGTCCCATTAAAAAGATCAAAATGGGTTTCAGTGCCGTTTTGACAAATGATACGGATGCTGACGGAAGTGTATAGCTGCGTAAAGTGCTTTCAAGATGGTCTTTTGTAGATACTTGTATTATCATTAATAGTTATATTAAAAATTTAGTTTCTTTTTGATTCTGACACACACAGTAAAAACTTTGTTTTGGTTTTTCTTAACTTTGGGTAATCTAATGTATGATGATGATGATATGTGAACTTGTAAAAAATGAGAATTTATTAAAATAAATACAGTAAATGCAACAAAATGATGCAGCCGAACATAATAATTCAAAATGTATTTCTACAAAGAGCAAACTTATTTTCAATTTTAATATAATAAATTATATTTACATGATAGAAGAGGTGATAAATATCAGTAAATCTCTGTTTGATATTTAAAATAAATCTAGTACATTTATAATATTAAAATGAAAAAAATTTAATATTTTTGTGTTTGGTGGCCCAATCAAGAACCATATAGCATATCAAAATATATAACAATTGTCATCTCTATGAAATAAACTTGGCTAAGCAGCCTGTGGCAAAAGCATATAATATTGTAGTTTTAGCCTGTCAATAGTATTCCTTATGTTTGGAATTGACTTATTTGACAAGTTAAGATCTATATCAGACTTTTGAGTCAAACATCCTAGGTTTCTCATTTTGCAACCGCATTGCCATTCTCCTTATTACAAACATCCGACTGAAATAATGTATAATATATACAGGTATATATCACATCTCAAGCCATGGAATACATATAAGATAATATAAATATTATGAACATTTAACAACGATATTAAATTTGTTTTGTCTTTTTGAGCAGGAAAGAAGTGCCATCCGCTTCTAAAAAGAAAGGTAAAAAAGTTCGAAGCAGTTCCTTTGATTATTCAAGTAAGACAAATTTTTACATTTTATTTATATTTTTGGATTATGTTTAACACTTTTTATGGAATGCAGATGCTGGTGGAGATCTGCCACAAGAACATCAACAGATATTGGTCGGATCGTACGACAATGCAGATAACGTGTCCACAAAATCCAACAATAGCAGAGATGTCTTGCCGGATGATTCCTATCGGACTGATACTTTTGTTAAAATGAAACAATTAATGGAATAATNTCGCATTACCACATAATTTTATGCTGTTTTGTTTATTTAATTAACAAATTGATCATAATTAAATCAGCAGCAAATTTTTTTTCTAAATTGCTTGAATCTTCAGGAAGTTTTCTAGACACTCTTCTGAAGATTCTTTGGAAACAATATTTTTCATTAACCCTTAACTGGTTTCATGGGGGCCGCGCAGCCCCACGCGTCATATTTTTACGATTTTCTAAAAATCTAAGCATTGTGCGCAGCTGCCATTTTATGTAATCTCATTACGTTGCGACTCTTAGCGAGTGCCAAATGTTCGGCCCTGTAGCATTTACCAGGATGGAGCTACGTATCTTCTTGGGGCTGCGCAGCCACCACGATACCAGTTATGTTGGTTTTTTGTGGAAATGTTTTTTAATGCTTTTTTTATTTTTACAATTATTTTGTAAAGATATCTCAACCTTGCATCAAAAATTCAAAATGACTACCAAAGAATCATTCGAACTGCTCATATATGATGATAATATACAAATTGCTAGATCAAGCCAAAATCTCCTGAAAAGAGTATGTTGTCATTTTGTGCTGGAAAAAAAGATAGTAAATATGCTACTAAGTGCAACAGTTGTTTGAAATTTATTTGCAANCTAGAATATTGTTTTTATTACACCTTACTTTGTTTAGAACATTGTTTACATATCATTTATTTAATTTACCATTAAAACACGTTTTAAGTGTAAGTAAGTTTTGATAATGGATACTGTATTTGTATCTGAGTCAGAATAAAATTATTATTTGGGATATTTAGTTTGCAGTATCTTGAGTGATTATAATGTATTTGAAAAATTGACAAATATTAAGGAAAATTGAAGAAGTATCTTAGAATAATTTGCTTCTTTTTAATGAATAATCAATTTGTCGTGATTATGTCTTCGCATAACCATATAATTTTATGCTGTTTTGTTTATTTAATTAACAAATTGATCATAATTAAATCAGCAGCAAATTTTTTTTCTAAATTGCTTGAATCTTCAGGAAGTTTTCTAGACACTCTTCTGAAGATTCTTTGGAAACAATATTTTTCATTAAGAAAGATTGCCATTATGATAAAACTTGAATTTCTTTCTGAGAATTTATTTCATTTGTATTGAATTCATTTGTAGTAGAATAAATGATATGTATGCAAATATAATAAGTATTTAGTTAACAAAACTGTTAGAATATTTTACATCCTGTATCATAGTCATATTTTATAATTGCAACAGAGAAAAATATGCCAATTTTACAAGTAATTCCTTCCCAAATACAAAGTTTTTGTAAGTGCAAAATATTTGTATAATTTTATTATGGGTTTATGGTAGACTTTGATGGATACACACTTATCTTGTAAGCAGTAAATTGTTATAATTATGATTCAATAGTATCGTGGCAGTAATGCCATAGAACTATTTTTTTAGTAAAGAAAAAGTTACAGAATAAATGTACGAATCAAGAATAATGATTATGATGCATAATATAAGAGTCTATTTACTAGTAAACTAAGGAGAGATTTTGATTTATGATTATTTTTCTTTTAAAAGTAGAACTTTCTTTATGACAACCATTTACACTTGTAAGGATTGCTATAGTTTACTTTTATTCATTTTAGGTATGATATTATACTTAAAACTATTCCTGGATGCATAACCTTACTTTATGACACAAGTTATATGAAATACTATACAGTATGTACTTGATGATAACTCACCAAATAATGGTTTATCAGAAACCAGATGAATCATAAAAATGGATGCATTGCTGCTTAATAATGTAAATCAAACAGAAATTTTCATTTATTCTTTCTGATGACTGTACTAGTTAAAAATAATAAAGTTTAAATATGTACGGTGGATGTCACACCAACAATTGTTCTAACTCGAGAAAAATTCACACAAAAGGCATTAAGGAATGTTTTATTTTCCTGCAAGAACTTTTGACATTATTCTCAGGCACTAATAGAATCAAATAAGTTTTGAATGGATTTTTAAATTGAAACGATAACAGCATTAGCTGTTTGGAACATAACATAATAACTTTAAGAATAAGAAAATTTAAAACATTAATTTGAAAATCACGTAACATCAACATGCAATCAATCACCTTAATTCACAGAGAAGGTGGGGGTGTAGATATGGAGCTAATGTTGATGTTTTAACTGTTTGTATAAAACTAGTCCAAATTCTGGGCAATTCGAGGGTAGAGGAGTTGTATGGATATGCCACTACCTTGTGCAGTCCAAGGACTGGACAGTACTTTGTCCTTCTTCTCCGTTTTGTGGCCACCTCACAGCCCGGATTTGCTGAATATTCAGGCAAAATGCATTTTTCTTATTCATTGCTTCATGCCCAAGTCTGAGAAGACTCTTATGTAATGACAGAGATGCAGTTTCAACCCTGAAAAAATCGGGTGTATATTCTATTCCCTTGGAAAGCCCAATGTCAGGGCTAAACACCCATTATATAGGCTTGACCACCAGAATGCTAGCCAACTGCATATCTGAGCACCAGCATTCTGACGCGGTGAGGAATTGTGATACTGAACTGTCCAAGTTGCTTGTGCAGCACCACCACACCCCACTTTGGAATCGGGTAGCGATACTCAGGTGCTGTGAGGAAGGGGTCCTGGTATACATTTGGGAGGCCCTCTTCATCATGCTGCTCCATTACCCTCAAATTGCCCAGAATTTGGACTAGTTTATACAAACAGTTAAAACATCAACATTAGCTCTATATCTACCCCCCTGCCTTCTCTGCAAATTAAGGTGCATGCACATTGATGTTACATGATTTTCAAATTAATGTTTTAAATTTTCTTATTCTTAAAGTTGTTATGTTATGTTCCGAACAGCTAATGTCATTATCATTTCAATTCAAAAATCCATTCAAAATCTGTTCAATTCTATTACTGCCTGAGTATGACGTACGTTACTTCATTGAAACTGCTTGCAGGAAAATAAAACATTCCTTAATGCCTTTTGTATGAATTTTTTTCTTGAGTTATAATAACAAAGTTTTTAACAATAACTATACTTTTTAATTGTAAAAGTTTTTCATAACTTCAATACCTAGAAGAACTTACCTTAAAGAGAGGTTTTGATTATATTTTTGAAGTGTTATCATAGAAAGAATAAATTAAAAGTCTCTTATATTTTTCTGTACTTTTAAAATGACTAAGTTTTTATTGATTTCAGATTGACATCATCGGTCAGAATGAATGCCGAATATGCTGACGAAAATAAGAACAGTTCCGAATTATTTCAAGTCAATTCATCATCAGGTATAATAATGTTAAAACAATTTATCTATGTATTTGTCGAGTAACAAGTCACAGATATTATTTAAAATTTTATAAATAATTTGTTGCTTTTACAAGAATCAGATTTTATTTTTACTTCTTTTAATTAGATTCCGAAGCAAGCAGCGTCTGTACAGCTTTAGAAAATTATAATTCCGGTTCGTCCAGTAATATTTGTAGTAATTCTTTTTTAAGAAATGTGGAAAAAAGCACAAACAAAGAGGATAATGCCAACCCAAATACTAATTTACCGTACAAGCAAGCCGAATTGCTTCGCAACCTAGAAAATGAAGATAACGCCAACATGTCTTTCAGGTCGACTGAAAACAAGGATGACACGTCCAAACAAATTATTGACAACTTGATCAACATAAATCATGCGCTGAAGCTACATCTCGAGTTAAATGTGTTTGATATGGACGAAGAATTCAAGGTTGCTGCCGAGGTATGCAAATTAAAATTTAAATTGTCTTATGAAACACTATTAAATATGACTCAGTAGTTGATACTTTATATTATTTTCTTTGTATAACTTAGCAAATTTTACTAGTGATAAATACTGACATTTTGTAATTAGTTTTATAGTGTTGTGCAAATGAATTTATGATTGAAATTTTGTAACTCAGAAAAATTAAGACAAGCTGTAACTGGATAACCATGATGAATTTGTCCAGACAGATAATGGGGTGAAAATTAGTTCAAAAGTAGATATCAACAATTACTGCCCAATATTTGGACCAAATTTTTCACAAATTTTGAGGTTATGTATGAAAATGCAATTTTTAAACTTTTAAAAATATTAAACTACAAAGTAAAAAGTATGTTATAACTGGTTAAAATGAGGCATACAGGATGGTGTATATTAGAAAATTTTTTGATGCAAAATTCAAATGATAAAAATAAAAGTATTTTTCAAAAATGATTTCACTGGTTTAGAACAGGGTGACAAGTTCAAACTTTTAGGAATCTTTATATTATTCTGTATTGGGTTGGCAATCTATGGCATGCATGCTAAATGTGGCACGTGGGACGATTTCCAGTGGCGCACTAATTGAATAAAAATGTAGTAAAAATTATTAATTACACATTTAAATGGAAGCCATAGTTCATTGTAGGTCGTTTTACATAAAAAAACAAATCTCTTGCTTGTACATTTATATTACAGCACATGCATTTACGTTCCATGTTGCCATCTACGTGTTGTGCATACGTTTCATACATAAAAACATATTTCAATTAACAACTTAATTTCAAAATTATATATTTTGAAGTCTTATAACAGGACCAATTTTGATAATATATATAACAAAATTGGTAGAATCGTGTTGGCACCCAGAATAACACTATAACTTAGGTTTGGCACAACACTGCTGAAAGGTTACTGACCCCTGCTCTGTATTATACTATAAAAAAATAGATTTCTAAGAAGGAATCTGTCTTATTCTTGGCTGTTGATGGAGCGTTGGTGTTTTGTGCTAGGGTGTAAGATTTCAGAGTCTTTGGAATGACGTGGGCATTGGATCTATATCTGTGCACCTGCCTATTTAACCTGGCTTATCAAACCAAGTCAAAGGTCAAGGCAAGGCAAGCCAAGGCCAAACAGTCAAGACAAGGTTTACTAAGTTTCTCTATCTGAATGCTATCTCTGAATGGGCAATAATTGAGCTGCAAACCATCATAGTGGCATGCAGACTCTTGAGAAAATACAGGACAGAGTATTGGTACCACTAGATGATCTGTAGTGGGTTCTCATAAGTCTGAAGGAATTGATTTGAAGACTCAGACTTTCCCCGAAGGTGATGTCAGAGACTATCCCTAAAGACACAAGAAATGGATATTCTGTTAATATTAAATAGAAGTTTTTAATGTGAGATATAGAGTAAAGATTGCTACAGGTGATATAAATGCACTCACTATTTCTGTCTGTTTTTTGAGCAGAGGCAACTATGGTGATTTTTCTTAGTAAAATAGCATGAAAAAAAGCAATTATTGTTATAAATAGAGAAACATTTTCCAATTCTAGAAAACTTGGTAATTTTTTACTATTCAGAATGCATTTTCCTTCAACCTTTAGAAGTCAGTTTACTCTGATAGCCTGTTTTTGCTTCAGGCTTTGAATAATGGGTATCACAGAGATCATCTGGTACTGAGGGTGAAGCATAAACAAATTCTATGCTCTGCAATGGGTTTGAGGTCCGTTTGAATCTTGGGCAATAACCGTGCAGATCACCTGGCCAAAGAGGCAGACAAGGGTTATGACAGACAGATAATCCAGTTATTGGTTGTGTCAAAGGTACCCTCTACTGTAATGATCAATTATAAACTGTCAGGAAAAGTGGACTACTATTACAGTTGTAGTAATATTCAACCTATGTTTTTATGCCTGGCCAAATTTCTGTAAGTGGTTAATGATGCAGGTCCTGACAGGTCAAAGAAAATTCCCCATTTCAAGTCCAAATTTCAGCAAGGGGATGGTTGCTCATGTGGATATGTGTGACACAATGTACATGACTGTTTTCTCAATGTAGACTTTTGTAGAAGGACCAGACACAACTTGGTTGTATCCCTCTAAGTATTTAGAATTCTTGAACAAATACAGGGAACCTGGAGACTTTAAAGGAGTTGATTGTAGTATTTGGTCTTTTAGATCTCTAGCTTGGTGGACCCATCCAAATAGGTTGAAATTTTACTGTTTGTTATGATTATTGTCAAACTTTAGAACAATACAGTGCTAGAGTAGTCTAAATATCATACAACTGCATACAATGTAGGTAAGTTGTGAGAGTTAGACTGAGCAAGGCAAGGACGACCTGGATTCATACTTGGGCTTGAGTCCACTTAAGAGTATTCTTGGTCTGACTTTGTTCTGAGGTCCCACTGGCACATGGGAACTCACCTGCTAATGATTAAGCTTCCATACATTACTCTGTAGGAAATGATAGAAACTGTAGTGCCATTTGATGGAGCAGAGTAACTTTCACAGAGATACCATATTAGGCACAGTGTTGCCAAACTCCTTGTTGCTACTTTTATATTTTTTTATCCTAGTTCTTGCAAGTTCTACTTTTGTTCCATTAATAAATACATGCAATCCAACCTTTGCCATCTGACTTACAATGAAAAGTTGTTCATCATCTGACACTTGTTATCATTGCAATCATTGCAGGTTGGCACTTACAGGTGAAGACAGGGAACAACTTTGTTCTCTACCACTCATAATAAATTGTGGAGGTCTGAGTTTGATTCTTGATTCCAAGTGATCAGCTGGCAAACAGCAGGATTTGAAAGGCATCAGTGCATCTATGAAAAATACTTTATTAACTTGCATGATATTGTAATTGAAATCATATTCAGCATAAATAATGTAGATTTTTAATAAAGTATTTCTTTTCTAATAAAAATACTGTATTTAAAAAACAATGACATAATGACAAAAACATATTTCTTTTCTCTTTTAGGTTTTTATGATGATGCATAATTCGATGACAACAATTATGGGATTATTAGTACTCTCTTCCAAAAAAATATATTTCTTGAAGCTGGGAGAGAACTTTAGGTAACAATTAAAAATTTATTAGCTAAAATTGAATTATAAATTAAAGCTTTACTAATACATAATATTCCTCATTTAGAGACGAACCCAAAAATTGTGTCACCGTGATGGAAAAGAAAAATCTGAATCAACTCAACTCGGTGAATATACTTCTGGGAAATCAAGGTTTCACTCTGAACTGGAGCACGGAGAAATATCACACCTGTCTCTTTAAGGATGCCGATCATTGCAATTGTTTTGTGACATACTTTACAGGTAATTAATACTTAACGATCAAACAAACGTAGGACTTGTTCGAAATTGTGTAGAACAACTCATCAGGAGTTTGGTAACACGCAAATCAAACTTGGCGAGATCATAAACTGGCCACTTATTGCACTGCCAGCTCACAGTTGTAAAGTTTCACTTAGCATTACTTCTCACAAGTTCATATTCTGCAAAAGAATAATAATAATAGGGCTGTTTTATTTTTTGTGTATGAACTGAAAATACATATAAAAGTAATTAGTTTTGATTTGATTGGTGTGACCAAGCCAAATTGACAAAATACTGTTTGATCAAACTAATATTAGAAATTCGCTACGAGATGCACAGTGACAAAACTATGGAAAATCTTATAGAACTAGAACAATGGAATAGTTTTAGTACTCAAAATTTTTTATTTTAGCAAATGTGGAATCAGCTTGAGTAAATGTGTAAACAAGGTTCAGTTTTTATTTAATGTTAATATTGAATTTATTAGATTAGATGAAATTACTATCTGATATCTAAAGTAATTAATTAAAATAAAATTTAAGTAAATAATTAAAAGACGTCAATTTTACACATTAATAAAGATTTCATAGAAGAGAGCAAGTGTGCGTGTCCGATGTTCCGTACTTCTGCAGAAACAAATTTGCAGCAAGTGGTTCGAGAAGTCTTCCTGGCCGGACTGGGCGACAAAAAGTATCTGCCTGACGACGTGGACCTGGAAGTTTTGATGTTTCTTTTGATCGAGAGTTGCTCTTTAGATAAAGGTGAGAACTAATATTTTTAAGTTGCATTTTAATAATAAGTATAGTGTATTGTTTTTGTTTTATTGAAGAAACAATAATAATGACTGGATGATTCATAGAGTTTGAAAATAAGTACAGTATATATGCTACTCTATTCAAGCTTAATTGAATTTTTTTCATGCTTGTCTTTTATACTTAAAAGTTTTAGTGACTATTCCATTTTGTAAAATTGCTCGATCACTGACATGATTGTTATTGGATTTGCATCATCAATTTTGCTTCCAGATACACATATCTATATACCTATATATAAACTCATATTCATACTCTCTACATTTATTTGCTCGCTCACTCATTCTTGAATTTGTATTTTCTCTAGAACTTGGTGCATTTTAAACAATTTTTGAAATATCCTGAATATTATTTCAGTTTTATAATTTTTATGATGATGAGAAAAAATGAAATTTTATTTTTTTGCAAAGAAATTGAACTGTAAAATTCTTTAAAATATAAATTATAAATGAAAATATGTATAATATGAAGAAGATAAAATGCAAAAGTCAATAGTTTATTATTATTTTTTTAACTTCTACTCTAAGGGCACTAAGTAAATTTTTTCTCATCCGCCAAAATCTACATTCTCTACAATGACAGATGGCTCAACATATTTTGGCCAAACAACTCACAAAACTTTCGGGTTCCAACCCGTCACTCCACGATCCAATGTTTTCAATGCCTCGGTCATTAGGTTGCCCGTGTTTTAATATTACATTGGGTGATCGATTGTAAAGTTTACTCGTGAGAAATAAAATTGGCAATGTCATAAACTGGTTGTATTTGCTAATGTCCAGCTATACATCGTAAGAAACATTTAAACCTTTAATACTTATTTATCATGGATTTGAGGAATAGCATTTCAGACTTTAAATTGGTCGTTCCCAACATTTTTGGACTCGTGACCTGCTCGAAAAATGACGTAAAGTTTGTGGCACACTTCATTATTAGATATTACGGAACTGGCCAACAAGTTTATGGTGAAATTACTTTCAGTATTTTATTATTTGTGTTACTACCAATATTAAACCTAGGCTGTCATTCTTTTTTTCAATATTTTATCACGTTTTTATTTTTTAAGCTGAGACTTCTTTTAATCATCTACTTTATTTACTGCTTCAGCCAGTGTTTTTTATATTGGTTTTACTCGGGGATTTTGGCTATGTGGACACTTACATAAGTTATATTTTTTATTTGTTTATAATTGAAGTCAATAACAATCTCTGTAGTTATCCTGCCATTAAGCAATAACATCTGAGTAATTATTAACTATATATAATTATAATAATAATGATCAATTAATGTAAGTAATTTATTGAAAATCCATTTTAAGTTGTAAGTGTGGAGACTGGTTGATAACTGTTGAACTAGAGTGGCATGTGATGAGCCAGTCAGACCTATTCAATTATTGGCAAGTAAACTTTTCATTCGATGCCCTGCATATCAGTGAACAAGCTCTATTAAATTTATATGCATCAATGTCCTTAATTTAAACAAAGTATTCTTTCAATCACCATAACAGTATATTTCTATTAACTCCTTTGATACCCTTGTTCCGATTCAAATGCAACTAAGAAATCCACAAAAATTTATGTTTTATATGAAATAATTATTTCCACTTAAACGGGAATCGGACATCCAAAAAAATTGCCGGAAAATAATTCCCGCGAAATAAAAAAACCCCTCCAAAATTGTTTTTACAAAAAAAGTATATAAAAAAAATAAAAATAATTTAAAATAAATGCTTTTATTTGAAAAATATAGCTGTAAGGATTGGTTATTTTTTCGTTTAACAAGGCGTGAAATTTCACTGGCGCAGTCTACATTGTTTACAAACTGGTCAACCTCCAGAACAGCTGAAGTCTGCTTTCCCGGGTAGTTCTCACGTACCCTTCAGGGGAATATTGGTTTAAAATGGGAGGGGAGCTAACTTACCGCATCTGTTCAAATATAACACAATATTGTCGATTTTTATGCTATTAAATTACCAGGGGACCGAAAAAAAGGTATGGGGAAAAAATTCTACTGAACAAAAAACAAAAAACCTGCCTATGTTCATAAAAAACATCCAATAGCGTTTTAAAAAATTTTACCGAAGTCAAATCGGTGAAATAGAAGTTTAGAACGATTTAATTAATTTGATTAAAAAACTCCCATAAAAACAATAGCGCGATTAATTACCTAATTAATAAATCGTCATAAAATATTCTCGCGGCAAAAATAATTCATGAAATTTGCACAGATCATAGATAACGATGTGTATATGCTGATCCATATATTTTCGGAAAAGTTATGTCAAGGCTTTTAATGGAGCCTTAAAGTCCATGCCCGAGATATCTCGGGATATAGACTGCGCATTTGCACTCGCAGCCCCGAGATATCTCGGGTTTAACAATTTTCGATTTTGACGTTCCGTCGTCTGTGTCCTCTGCCCCGTAGTAGGCTATATTGAATCATTGTTCTGTTCTTACATTGTTCTTACGTACAGATCTATCCAAAATGGCAGAATTTTGGTTGGCCGCGTAGCAAAAACGTTGGGAGAAACGACTGCGATAATCTTACATCCAGTATTTGGCTGTGTATAAACGTAATAGTATACGTAAATACTGTCTGTTTGCAGATGGCAATCATCCAGTGGCCATCGTTGCCAGTTCTACGGAAATCTGCTTAACGCAAATCCTGTTTGCCAAGTGGACCAAGTCGACCAAATCCTTTTGTCCGGTGGAACGTTACAGACCGGTGGCCAAGCAGAAAATCATAAATATCGTTTCTCTGGTAAGCGAGTTTGCAACTGGGCGAAACCCGTAGAGTCCGAGTCTTTCATTTTTCTTTCTTTCTTCTCAGCATCTGTGTTTGGATACGTGCAAGGTAGGTCTTCATTTTCTGGACGAAGACGCCAACGACGAGTTCTGTTGGTCGCTCAGGACCAAAACCCGTACCACCCTTTATTCCCTCTTCAACACCGTCAAGGAATTGTGGGAGAAACAATTCGGAATCGAACTGATATGCACCGAGGATTGTAAATACAATTCGGAAACGACCAAAGAAGAAGCGGCAACGAAATTTGTATTATAAAACTTTGTATTAAATACACAAAACTAATTTAATAACCACTGTAACAGGGATTGTAACCCGGAATGAATAAAGTTTCCTCCTTTTGTACTTAGAAACGTCTTTATCTTCTACCCGCGACTGGACAAAGTATTGTAATTTTCATCTTTTGCAAGTTTTGACCCGCGTGTCTACTTTATTTATTTTATAAATACTGGGAAGCGAGAGGGGCTGCACAATGTCTTAAATTTACCACTATCTACGATCTTAATAGACATAAGAACCAGATACATTGGAGACAGAGGGACTCCTATTACTAAGTGTTCGTGTTTTTCAAAACACACGTAGTCGACTGTATAGTAAAATACTAACAACACGCTGTATTTTATATTAATTACTGCCCATCTTGCCCACGGTTGGCCACGAATTCTGCCGCCGGCTAGAGGCACCGAAATATAGTGCAGCGAACTAGTTTTAAATTCGTCGTCGTCGATAATTCTATATAATTTTTTCGAATATATAAAATACAGTAGAGTGTCGATTATCCGAATCAATTGGGGACTGGTTGTTCGGAAGACCGATGTTTCGGATAACCGATTATGTACGAAAAAATATATTAATTTATCCCATCTTGACATTTTTCTCCGTTGCGTGTCGCTTCGCGTTGAATTTTCGTCGATGTTAAGCCCAACGAAGACTATTGTATCGTTAAAAATTATTTTTTTATTTTGTACGAACAAAATAAATACAGTAAAACCTGTCTATGGAGACCACCCACGGTTCCTTCAAAAAGTGGTCTTTTAGACAGGTGGTCGTCCAATACAGATGGTGCCGTAATACCGTATTTCCGTACGTATTTTGAGCACTTTAGCCATTTCTACTAAGCAAAACTCGAGGTGAGCAAAAATAAGCGAATTTTTTCAACGATAGGGCTATATTGGTATTGTATTTTATTCTTATCGGATAACAACGATTTACAGGAGTCGTCATGATATTATAAGACAGATTTAACACCATTATTTTAAAGATTAATACAATACTCGCATTTTCTCGATTATAATGCACACTTTCTTTTTTCCGACTTAATTAATTCGACTCGGTTCTTTTCGTTCTCTCCTCAGTTACGTGTATTACGTCATCAATATACAAGCGCGTCCTATCTCTCCATCACTTTGCTTTTGGTTTTCGTTAGTTTAATCTTATTTTAACTTTAAAAATACTGTATTTTTTAATATTTAATATTTTCTTAATTAATTAAGTACAATAAGAAAAATTATTAATTAATAATAAAACGATTTTATTATTTTTTCTCATTATACGATTTCATTACAATCGCGGAATCGAAAAAGGAAGTAAAACTGATTTTTGCATTAATGCGTTTATTGTTTTTTGAATATTTTGCCTGCGAAAATTACTTGGATATTATTTTTCTAAAAATATCGTGGAAATAAGGTAGGTTGATACAGAAACTATTTATCGCACGTGTACTGTATATGAGCTTCAAAATAAATAAATAAAAATAGATTTTATCAAACGATGAGATCAGCCGATTAATTGTATCGTGTACAATATTTTACACCCCCAAGGAAAATACTGTAGGTCTAGGGTAAAATAAATTTTGTTTTCCCACAGTTAAACTTCGCCGCTAATTGCTGTTGTGATAACTTTAATACGATCTTCTAACGACAGCACTTTGCATTTCGGACATTTTCCAACAAACTGAAATGAATTTCCTTTGTTGCTAGACTAATTTATTAACACCTGCACCTAATTTCGAGGGTGGGAGAAGTGCCCGGGATGGGTTCGAATGAGAGTTTAGACTAATTCATTATATTAGGAGGTGGAAACGTTGTTGAGTTGGGTTCGTACAATAGTTTAGACCAGCTACATTCGCGAAAGTGGTCGCTTATTACAGGTGTTGTATGTTGTTTCGGACCAAAAATCGATGCCCGCGGTCGCGTTACACAGGTGGTCGTTTAATACAGGTAACTTATACGAAGACTCTATGGGTAAACTATTCCGTGCCAGAAATTTTTGCCCGTTTTGACAGGTGCCCGTCGAATGCGGGTGGTCGCCTAAGCAGTTTTCACTGTATATTGAAAAATATAAAAACAATAAAAAAATTATACGTCAGAAGTTAATTTAGTATCAAAAACGTAAAATATTTGAGTAGCCCGAGACATAGTCAAAGATTGCAGCGCCACAGCACTGGCAAAAAATTGAATTTGCCGACTGGAATTCTTTCAGATGATTGACTTTCAGATAATCGACGCTCTACTGTAATAAGTTTAAAAATGATCTTTTCATAGAAAATGAAATATTCCACTTATGTTTTTACGTTTTATTTTATTTGCGAAAACATTTTTTTTAATTTAAATACTATCGTAACGAGAAATAAAATGCGAGACAACAATCGAAATAAAAATTTTTTTTCACAAAAAAAATCGTCCGTTTACAAAATAGCGAAACCGAGCGTGCGCGAAGCGACGGTATCGTCTGGTAAAGTAAATACGAGTAAGTTGGAACTTTTATAATTATTTATTCGGAAAATAATAATAAACGTAGCCGCTGCGATAAACGGGGGCCAATATTGAAGAAAACGACGGTTTAACCATTTTAACTCGTCCTTCTCGTATATGAAAATAATATCCCCGTCTTATCCCGCGGGTGGGGCGAGATGGCGCATTTACGTATAATTTTAAAATATTAAATTTTCTTGTTTTTCAAAAATCAANCCCGTCTTACCCCGCGGGTGGGGCGAGATGGCGCATTTACGTATAATTTTAAAATATTAAATTTTCTCCTTTTTCAAAAATTAAATTTTGTGTTTTATATTACCAAATGTTGTAGTTGCCGAGAATAAAAAAAATTATCGTTCTCGTCCAAGTGGTTGTCCTCTTATGACTTTTCAAACCTTAACGTCCTCGTCCTGCCCACCTTCCCCTAATTATTTCAAACGTAAGAACTATCGAAAGTTCTATCAAAAAAGTATTTATAAATAATTTTAATCTATCAATTAGCTTTTAATCAGTTAAGTGTATGGCTGTAACTACTTAACCAGTGTTTTTTTTACTCTTTTCGCCCCGTGGGCGCTAAGAGGGCCTCTTAAAGCGGGCTCATTACGGGTTCGGCCGGGCCCGCGATGGGGCGGCCTGATGGTAAGGGACGGGGCCCGACGTATCCGAACGGACCACCCCCCGAAAAATTCCTGGGGATTTATCGACTCGTCTCTCAGAGCGGTAGGCCACCACCTCGACCGCTCGGCCATCCGGCCTCTTTTAACCGCTGTTTACAAATATAACCAACACGCATAAATACTGTTACAAATTAACTTACAAGATGCGTTCCATAAGTAATGCGAATAATTTTTTTACCACGCGATATGCCGTAGCTAGTTCTAACCCGCTGCGCTAGGTGGTGCGGGGTGTTAACTTCGAAACTCGCCCGGTCTCGTTTTCCTCGGAGCTGCCGGCGTGCGAGGACGTTCGTTCCAGCCAACCCCGTTTTGAGTTAATGTAACGCGGAGCGATGGATCATTTTGTGGAGCAACGTTACGCTATCAAATTTTGCGTTAAACGTGGGAAGTCCGCTATCGAAACTTTTACATTAATTCGGCGGGCCTTTGGGAGTGATCGCTTCTCCAAATCACAAGTCTTTCTAAGGCACGAGTCGTTCGAGGATGGCCTAGAGGAGGTCACCGACAAACCTTGCAGCGGACGTCCGTCAACCTCTTTGACATCGGAGACATTAACCACCACGAATTCGTACCTGTCGGGACCACTGTAAAGGCAGCTTTCTACTTGGAAGTGTTCGAAAGACTGAAATCCTAGTCACGCGCTGCCCAAGTGACATCGAGGACACGCGGAAACTTTATCACGACAACGTGCCAAGCGCAGCGCCTTCGCTGTAGACGATTTCCCGGCCGGGACCCACACCCCGTTGGTTCCCCAGCCACCTTACAGTCCTGACCCGACCTGGCTCCCGCCAACTTTTTTTTTTGTTTCCCCTCACGAAAGGGAAACATTGGGGCAAGATTGAAAACATCGAGGCTTATGTTACATTAACTCTAAAGGACATTCCGGAGAAGGCCTTCCGGAATGCTTTCCAGGCCGGGAAACACCGCCTTCACAAGTGTATCGATGCGGGAGGGTTCTATTTCGAAGATTTTTGACTAATTGTAAAAACATGTTCAATAAATGATTTTTTTTGAATTTCTTCGCATCACTTATGGAACGCATCTTATATACATTTTTTTCTGTAAACAATTTACATAATGTGTATTTTACAAAAACCATTGTTGAATAATTTAAAATATCTTGTTAATTTTTCTCTTTTTCTTCATTTGCACGAAGGACGGTTTCTTTGTTGTTATATTCTTGTATAGTTCCTAATTCTGACTTCAATTTCTATGTTCCGTTAACGACAAAAATTGAACACGTCTTTTCAATCCTTCTCGTGTTTTCCTGGATACAAGTTTTCATTTATTACACGGAAATACTCTTGATTGGTTGATATGAATCTGAAAATAAAACGAGTCCAAATTAATTTTTCTTATTAATGAACATATATTTATACGTACGAAATAAATTAATTACAGCATCGAAAGTAGTTCTATCTGCGATTTTTGGAAGTAAATTAAATTTTAATAGTAAGAAGAAACACCCCTTCTATTTATCACATTTACAGCTTGGAATACAGAAACTATTTCTAACCTTTTCTCGAAAAATGCTTCAGAAAAAAGTAAAAATTTATTTTCGTTTTGTCTACCCTAATTTAAGAAACTTCAACAAAGAAACGTGACACTGTTTCAATACTTGCTACGTCACGCTTCCTTCCATTTCTTCCTAAAAGACTCGGCTTATTAAGAAACAACTTTCATTCTGTTTAATAATTATAATAAAGACACGGTTTACATTTCTATACTCGAATGTCGCGCTTGTATCGTTTGGACGCAACCAACGGCCGTTTTAAAAGAAAAAAAATAAGTAGTGTATTTTTATAATGAATTTTAATTAATTGTAAATTATTTTATTCATTCTTTAATCAGGCGGACGAATCTCATTGAAAATTAGCGATCAACTTAACTATTAAGAACTG